CCGAGGCCACTAAGCCATAGGCTGAGGGTGGCCACCACTGATCCAAGACATGACCCCGCTCCCTACTAACAGTAAACAGTTGCTTTTCTGAACCCTGAGTCTCATGCCCATTTCCCCCAGAAAGACGCATGGAGTATAATGCTGTTGCCAGTCAAATCCCACACACCATCCCATCTACTCCGGAGCCTTCATCCTTGCTGCCCCTGCCCCTGACACCCCCTCCCTCCTAGCTTTCCTCCAACTGTTGGGATCTCATCCTCCCAGCCCAGATGATCCTGGCTGCTTGCCTTGCGTGTTCATCCTGCCTGGTCTTGTTCATGGTGTGTATCTCTACTGCAGACTAACTCATTTGTCTAGTAGGAGCCCTGGAACCAGAACACTTGTCAATTTTGCTCATCCCTGACTCCCTGTACCAAGGACAGGGCTGGTACATAACAAGGGTTCTACAAATACTCCAAATGGGTGGGTGGGTGCCAGAAACTCGAGGTCTCACCTTGGTTTAAGAAAACAGTTCAAATTATAATACGTATTTATCTGGGGTTTTGTTTTGTTTTAGAACCTATTGTTGGTGGGTTTCTTTTTTATTGAGGCATAATCCGCATGTAGGAAAATCCATGTACTGCCAGCATCCCTAAAAGTTCCTGTGTCCCTTTGCAGTCACACACTCCCACTCAAGGCCTAGTGAATGTAGATTATGACTTGCTAAAGTGTCCCATTGGTGGAATCCACATTTGCAGACACTGAGTCTGTGTTTTTCACTGTGGCTGGGCACACTAAGGACTCATTTGTTCCCTCTCTTGGTGGAGTGGAGCCCACAGGGTGACTGGAGCTCAGCCATTCAGCTCTTTGCCAATTAAGATCCATTTATATAGATAACACAGCAATAAAACAGGCTCGCTTGGACCTGCTGCTCAGCCACCGAAGCCACACACCCGAGTCTGTGTGAAGGACCCTTCCTTTCTTCCTTAGTCTCTGCCCTTTCCACATGCCCTCTTCCCAAAAGAGAATTGTACTTACTGAACCCATAGAACAAAATTGGAAAGTGGGGTCCAGGAATATGGCGAACGCTTGCAGGGCCCACGAACTGGAAAAGCAGAACTGGAGCTTGAAGGTCAAGGAGTAGCGCAAGCTGGGGACAGGGAATGCCGATGGCTCAGGTGTGAGAATATGCCGCTCCGAGGTGCTAGGAAAGGTGCTAGTGGTCTAATCCCTAAGAGGAGCGATGCCTGGATAATAGCAGAGCCCTGCCTGGGTCAGGTTCTCGAGGATTCCTTTCCACACCCATGGCTGAAGCCTCAGCCGACTGTCTGTCTAGGCTGGTGTTGGTATCCAGAACCCCAGCCTGGCTGAACCAGGCCATCTGGCTGGGATTGTCTGCCGAGGGTCCAGGCCAGTGGGTGGGCTAGTAGATTGGATAACAGGATCCAGCTGTGAATGGCTTCTGCCCCGCCCAGCTACTTACAGTCACACGTCCACTGGGGAAAATTAGTGAGGCTGCTTTTAGGGAGCCCTAATCAAGCAAAAGGACCCTAAGTCCTCAGCCAGGCTCTATAGACACGAGGAAGGTCTCATCAAACCTGGAGTTTCCTATATGTGGAACCTACCATGGGTAAGAGAAACAACTTTGGCCCTGAAGTGTGGAGAGGTATCTAGAAAATTCTCTATGCAGAAGTGAGCTTGCTGCTGACTGCCTAAGTAAAAGCTCAGGGTTCTGGGGTTTTCATCTTACCCAGGTTCCAGAAACTCATGCTGGACAGAAGACTCTAAGGGCAGACCTGGTGGTGCTCTGTGCACCCTAGGCACTCGTGGGTCCCAGCCAGCCACTCAGAGTGTCCCTGGGGAGCTGAAGGAGGAGGCAAACAGACTAGAAGTTCTTACTGGGATCTCAGCAGACAGACTTAATAGCAGGATGTGTGGAGTGAACCGAAAAGAAGTCAATATAAAGGTCTGGCTTTGGGGCTTCAGGATTGGGTGGGGCCATTCACTGACATGAACAAAATGAGAGCCCCCTAAGAGCCCCAGGGAAATGGAGAGGCAGGATTCAGAGGCCTGTGTTGGCTGCTGGAAAAGCTAGTGGTTTGGTTGTTCGTTTTCCTATTTCTCTCTCTACTCACTTGTTTTTGAGACGGGGTCTTAAGGTAGCCCAGGCTGGCCTTAAATTCGCTAGGTAGCCAAGGATAGCCTTAAATTACACATCTTCTTTTCCACCTCCAAGTGCTGGAATTATAGGGGTGCTTCACCATATCCAATCTTAGAGATGCTTGTTGGAAACTATGTAGATATAGAGAGGTGTCCAAGAAGAATTCCTCATAGGAAACTGTAAGCCATGAGCTATGTAAGTCCCAGGAGAGGAGTGGCTGAAGCACACAGGTAACTCCCCAGGGTGTTTGGAGCACTGAGCCCTTCAGTTTCTAGCACCAGAGAAAGCCTATGGATTTTCTTGGAAACAAATATGATCAACTAGGAACAGTGGTACATACCCATGACCCCAGCACTCAGGAGGCTAAAGCATGAGGATTGTTGTAAGCTCAAGACTAGTCTCCCAAGTGCTGAGCTATAGAGCAGGACCCTGTTTCAAAAAGCCACACAAACACACACAAAAGAAAAGCTAAAGTCAAGGCCCTCAGAAGAGCACCTACTAATACTGTAGCTATAACCCAACATCAAAGACCAAATTGACAGTGAAGTTGTTGCCTCATCCAGTGATGGGTTGGTAACTCCTATAATTGCATCATCACACTGACTGAGAGGGGAAGAAAGGTTCTGTAGATTTCGGGCTAAGGGTGTAAGCATTCAGAATTTCTCTTTGTCATGTAGTCACAGGCCTGCTGGACCAGCACTTCTTTGTGGCCTGAGCTAAAGTTGATGGAAATGCCAACACAAATCCATGTCCAATGTCATCTTGTACTCACTCAATGTCATGGATTTCTGAAATCTCTTCACGGACCTTCTGATCCCCTATTAAGGACCTGGCTTAGAGAAAGAAGGGATAAGAAGGCAAAGAGACCAAGACTGGACCAGGAGAGGGAGGATTCAGCAGTGCCAGTTTGTAAAAGGAGGGTGTATTTGGGTGTGTCTATGTTCAGCAGCCATACTGTTGACAACTCCAGTATGAAATAAGGGGTCAAGGAGATCATCGCAAGGTGAAGTAAAGGATCATGGACTAGTAATACAACCCAACCGATAGAGCCCTGGCCACTCAAACATGAGGGCCTGAGTTTGAATCTCCAGAAACCATGGAAAACAAGATGCAGGTAGCACATATCTGTAATCCCAGCCCTCCTGCATGATGGGAGACTGAGACAGGAGAATTCCCCTCAGAAGCTCTCAGGCCAGTTAATCAGCAGGGATGAATAAGAGACCCTGTTTCAAACAAGATAGAAGGTAAAGACCAACACTCTGAGATAGAGAGGTTAGGAGGCAGTTGGAGGGGTTGGGGGGTCCTAGGTTTTAGATGGATCTGTGAGCACGTATCTTCCCTGCGCTGCAAGATAGGTTAGGACCAGTGATGATGCAGAGGAAGAAGGAAGATGAGGGCAGAGGCCAGCTGCTCCACCCATCTCTTTGTATGCTCCTCCTAAGATCTCAGTTTTAGCTGGAAGTTTATTAAAGCACACACAGCTGCCTTCCCCTTGGTTCCACATCCAGCAGCATTGGATCAGGTCTGGTCTGGAAACCCGTGTTTCTAACCAGCTCCCAGGTGAGACTGATCCATGGGTCGCACTCTGGGCATTTCCAGAGCTGTCCCTATGCTCCACTGAGACTTGGCACTGGAGCATACAACTTCCAAAGCGCTCATGGCAGGAAGAGATGAGATGGACAGAGGAGGGAAAAGAAGGAAGAATCATCCCGAATGAGCCAGAACCCCAGTCAAAATCCCCACCCCCTCCCTGGGAGCCCTGACCTTCCAAGGCCCCTTTGAATGGACCCGATGGATCCTAAGGAAGTCTGAGTTCTGGCCTGAGAGACAGAGGGACCCGGGCAGTGTGTGCAGCCAGGAGCAGTGAAGGAGTGGCTGGGCCTGAGGACTCACTGTTCACTTCTCCAACTTCATCTTGGCTTCTCAGCAAACCAGCGCCATGACCTCTCAGAAGGCATTATAGCCCTGCCAAAGAAAAGAAGCCAGCTCAAGGCATACAGGGCCCTTGGATGCTGTGAGTTCTGCCCTATTTGGCAGACAGTAGTGCTAAAAGAAAGTTCAGTTTGGCAAATGGACCTGGAAACCTGTACAAGGGAAAGATGTGAGCCCACCCCACCACAGGCTGGCTCCCCCCCCCCCCCGGGGAGCTGGGAGAAAGGCGGGGCATGCAGGCTGTACTCTGATCCTCGCTGTACCCCCTTTCCTATAATTTCCTTGGACACAATTATTGAGTACCCACTGTATACCTGGTGGTGTATTAGATTTGGAGATGAAATATTGAGCAAGATTGTATCCCTGGCTTCCTGTGATTGACATTCTGGAGGGTGAGAGAGATAAAAAGAGATGCTTGTCATGAAGCTAAGGAATGATGTGTGCTACATCAATGAAATGGCATGAAGGAGTGAGCCCATGTGAGTGGAGAGAGGGTTCTGGAGAGAGTTCAGGGGGAGTAGCCGTGCAAAGGCCCTAAGGTGGGTGCATGGCTGTGTAGGAGGGATGAGTGGAGGTGTGGCCTCTGGAGTAGAATGAGATCAAAGGAAGGATGGAGGGACGGGCTGGCTATGGGGGAAGAGCATATCAAGATTTTTAGTGTTTCCTGTTAAATGAGAACCTTGGACAAAGGAGGAATGTGGCTGGCCTTGTTTCAATAGGACCCTTTTGTCTGCCCAGTGGGGGACAGTTTGTAACTGTGGGGGGGGGTCACCTAGGAGAGGGGAATAGCAGCCTGACATGGCACAGTCTCAGCCAGGTGTCTACCCCTAGCTGCCACTCTAGGCTCTGCCATGGAGGTTTGTGGGAGGGAGTGACGGGAGGCTCCTCCTGGCCCCTGCCCTGTCACTGCAGCCCTGTCTTCCTGCAGCTGGAGCAGTCCATCCGGAGGAACTTGAGGTCAAACTTGGCGCAGGCCCAGCAGCACACAGTTCAGAACCAGACAAGCGCAGCTCAGACCCACAAGCTGACTGCTGTGGAGGCACAGGTAACAGGAGATTCACCAGATGGCCAGGCTGTTTCTCGGGCTTCCTGTCTCTGCCTGTCCCAGCCTGCAGACCCCTGGTCTCCTCTCTCTGATGACACATTCACATAACCAGCCATCTCCCTCTAGACTGCCGCACTGGGTCTGACTCCTCTGGGAAAGGTCACGGGCAAGACTGTGAAGGGCACTGGGGAAAGGCAACATTGGCAAAGCCCCTGCCACAGGGGTTGCAGCACACCGGGAAAAGCTGGACGTTAAAGACCTTGTGATGTCAACAGGCCAAGTGGGGAGCAAGGGAGGGGGAAGAGAGAAGTAGCAACTGTTTGCTGAAGCCCTCCTGTGTGCCAGACACCATAGGAGACCCTGGTTCCAGCTTAGAGCAGTAAGCAAGACAGCCAAACATCTGGAAAGCAGGATACACAACTCCTGTATGTTACTCAGTGGTCATGCCAGGGAACCATCGTGGTACAAAGAGAAAGAGAGGTGTGCTGGGTGCATGGATAGAAGTCCAGACAGCAAGGTCAGAAGGATGCTGGGATGCAGTGCTGTTAGGATGTGAGCCAAGTTGCTAGGAAGAACGCACCAGACAGGGAGAACAGATGCATAAAAGCTCTGAGGCAGAGCCTGCTGCCTACTCCAGGGACATGGAGGAGAGCAATGTCCTGGGAGACGGAGCAGGGAAGCGGTAGAGGGAAATTGAGTCACAGGCCCAGTGAGGATGAACTGTTCAGAGAAGGATTCTGAGCAAAGGGCCCACGGCATGAAAGACTACCTCAGGCTGCTTTGTAGGAAAAGATGAGAGGGATAAGGCTAGAGCAGGGAGCCCTGTGAGGCCCGTGCAGGACACTGGATAAGAAACAGCAGACAGTGAGCTGGCTGGCTTTCTGTTGTTAGGATAAAGGCCAGGACTAAAAGCAACCTATGGAGAAGGGCTAATTTAACTTACACTTCCAGATAACAGTCTATCACTGAGGGAAATCAAGGCAGGAACAGAGGCAGGAACCATGGAAGAAGGCTGCATGCTGGCTTGCTCTCCATGGCTTGCCCAGTTTGCTTTCTTATACAACTCAGGACCACCTTCCCAGGAGTAGCATCATTCATAGGGCTGGGCCCTCCCACATCAATCAACAATCAAGAAAATGCCACACAGACATAGCCACAGGCCAATCTGATAGAAGCAGTCTCATAACTGGAACTCCTATCATAACTCTGGGCTGTCAAGTTGACAGCTCAAGAGCTAGGAGATCTGATGTGGTCTTGGAAGGAAGGGAAGTGGTTAGGGGCCATTTGAAAGATGAGGCTGATGGATTGACTGCGTGTGGAGTCAAGGATATGCGTCTGGAGCTCAAACACCTACAAGATTGTCACTGGTGTGCAATAGCAGTAATGAGGAAGGGCAAATCAGAAACCAGAATAGTCAGGTAGGGCCTGTGAATAGTAGTAAGCTAGTAGCTATGGAAACTAATAGCTCAGGACTCTGCAATGGGTTGGTAAGCTTCAAGAGTGGACAGCCCTTAGACTTATATAGCTCATGCCCCCACAAACCTCCTGCTTGTTGGGATAGGTCCTAAACCAGACATCACGCATGAAGCTCCAGATGCTGGAGAACTCACTGTCCACCAACAAGCTGGAGAGACAGATGCTGATGCAGAGTCATGAGCTGCAGCGGCTGCAGAGTCGCAACAGGTGAGCAGGGGCAGAGCTAGAGTTGGGGGGAGAAGCTGGAGCTGGCCAGGGTCGGGATGGAACTGGGGCCTGGATTTGCACTGGGGTGAAGGACCACCCCTGTGGGATGGAATTAGGACTAGGGACAGAGCTGGGTGGAGGTTAGGGCTAGATACGGGTCAGGACTAGGCTTGGAATCCAAACAAGCATTGGTGATGCTAGGGCTGGGCTGAGCCCAAGCAGCAACAGCCCTGGCTCCCAGTATTTGCTATCAACTGAGACTGCGCATTGTCCTTTGATTCTTTTCCTTCCCACTTCACTTATTTTTGTGGTGCTGGCGATGGATCCCAGTTCCTTGCACAAGTCCCTCTGAATCGACAGCCCTCAATCACACACACACACACACACACACACACACACACACACACACACTGTCCTTGTTTGGAGTTTTTGTTGTTGTTGCTTTTGTCAGTTTGTTTTACTTGAGGTGGGTTCTCACTATGTAGTCCAGCTGGCTTCAAACTTACTATCCTCCTGCCTCAGCCTCTGGTACTAGTATCATAGACTTGCACCACCACACCCATCTCTCTCTATTTTAAATTTTCACTGCTTTATTAAGATATAATTTTCACACCTTACATTGTGAACTTTAAACTGGCTCCCTTAACTGTAAGCATGCAAACCTGACTCGATCCATCCACACCCCCTTCCTGGACAAAGCGGTTTCCAGCATCCGTCATTACTGTCAGCCTGGTGCTCTGCACATGTATGCCCTGGAGGTCCCTGAACTTACACAGACAAAAACAGCCTTGGGGTAAAGACAAGGCAGGAAAACCCGACACCCAAGGCTTGGTTCTATAGTTGAATGGTACACACTGGGTTCCTTTCTCCAACTTCCCAAAGTTCCCCAGTGCTATCTCCTAGTCCCAGCCAATGGACATTAATGTCACTTACAGCTTTTTACTAATCTGCCCAGTGGTATGACCAGTGCTCTCATATCTCATCTCCCACAGACAGGAGGAAACTCCTAAAAAGGGAGGGCTGAATGGGAAGCTTCCTTTTCTTAACTGCTTGCTTTTTACACCAGGATATGCCTTGTGCTTACTATGCTAATAGACCCGCATGATACAAAAGTGGCTGAGGCTCAACTCAGAAGTAGAATGCTTGCTTAGTATGGCCCAGGCCCTGGCTTCCACCCCTAGTACTGCAAGTGAGCAAATAAAGAAACACCAGAGTGCAAGCCCAGTCTTGTTGCTCTATCACTCCTATTAGTGTGACTCCACAGCCTCGCTCTACCTTGATCTGAGCTGTTGCGAACACAGACCACACGGCTGTGTGACCGTGAGGCAGACACTGAGCATCTCTGAGCCTCTACCTGGCATGTAGCTGTCATACTCAGGGTGCTCTGTCTCATTCCTCCCGGTCACCCACACTGAGGTCACCCACACTGTAGCATCTTTCCACTCCCTGTCTGGCTGTTCTTGGAACCTCTATACTGCCATGCATTCCTTTCTTCTTCCTCTTTTTTGTCCCCCATCCTCAAGGTTCCGCCAGAGTCTCTGTCATGCCGTGTTAGTCCCACCTCTTCCTAACTCTTTGCCAGTACCTCCACCCCAATCCTCTCTGTGGCTGTAGCACAGTCCTGGGAATCCCAGAACAGAACGGAGCCGCCAGTCCCAGCTGTTGGGCATCTACTATGCATCCCTTTTCACATATGAACAGCATTATGCCCACACTTCCTAGAGCCTGTCTCCTTTGAGGGGCACACAGGTCATAGGCATTGCTTCTGGGCTTTGCTCACGACTGCTCGTCTGCTCGCTTGTTGCTGGTCCCTCCCTGCTGACCTTGCTCCTCTACTCACCTGTGTAACTCCACAGCCTCTCGCTCTTCCTTGGTCTGAGCCACAGTGGACACACTACCAGGCTGTGTGACCCTGCGGCTGAGTCACACAGACTGAGTGTGTCTCTGAGCCTCTGTCCTGTGTGTGTAGCTGGCATACTCAGCCCCAGGGGGGGGGTGAGTGCTGGGGACAGAGACCTTGGGCTTACCCCTATGTGTCCCACCTGGCAGGGCACTGGAGAGCCGGCTGCAGGCTTTGGAAGCACAGCACCAGGCCCAGATGGACAGCCTCCAAGACAAGAGGGAACAACTGCAGAGCCTCCTAGGCCGCCAGACCGGGGCCCTGGCTAACCTGAATCACCATCTGCAGGCCCTCGGCAGCAATTCCAGCTCCCTGAAGCAGCAGCAGCAACAGCTGATGGAGTTAATACAGCGCCTGGTTCGGATTGTAGCCCAGGACCGGCGCCCTGGTGAGCAGGAGGCCGTAAGCAGGGACGGGGTGGAGAGCGGGGGGGGGGGGGGCCTTAGCTGTGCTCCTGTTTCACTCCCGGCCTCAGTTTCCCCATCTGCAGAGATAACAACACAGACAACAGCAGCCTACACTGACTAGTCTGTGTCCCTTCTCCCTTTCTTTTCTCTTTTGTCTTTTGAAACAGACTCTTAACTTACAGCTCTAGCTGGGAACTTGTTGCGTAGACCAGGCTGGCCTCAAGCCCACAGAGATTCACCTGCCTCTGCCTTCCAAGAGTCCGACTAAAACCATGTTCCAGCCATCCTGCTCCTCTTGCTTGGCTTTCTACATGCCTCCCTGGGCCTCAGTTTCCCCATAAAATGGAGAGGTTGGACACAAGGAGTCCCAAGCACAAGTTGCTCCCCTTTATGGCCCTGTTCCTAGGCCTAGGCAGCCATATGGAAGTGGGAAGAGATGTGGCATCCCCAGACTGCCACAGAAAAGAGAAACATGCCTACCTTGCTCCACAGCCCTCTTTGGCATGCCCAGTGCCATCTGCAGCCACTCAGCCAACAAGCATTTATTGGGCACCCACTGTGTGCCAAGCAGGGGCTTGGGTGGCAGGAACTCAGCAACACACAGCTGCCACGGTCCTTATCTCCTGCAAACTTTCCTACCGCTTGGCAGGTCTCAGTGGGAAGGGGGAGGAAACTCTTCTCCATTGAGGGCCCACCTTATGCTAGGTACTCTTAGCTATTCAACTAGTTTCCACAGCTCAGAAGGCTAAGGAGCTAAGCCAGAAGAGGGCACTTCAGCCTAAGGCCAGCAGGGGCACAGGAGAGGCTGGATGGAGTGGGACTTGTCACCTCCCTGCCCTGCCCCAAGATAGGGTTTACCTGTGTAACAGACCTAGCTGTCCTGGAACTCACTTTGTAGAGCAGGCTGGCTTTGAACTCACAGAGATCCCCCTGCCTCTGCCTCCTGAGTGCTGGGATTAAATGCTTGTGCCACGGCTGCCCAATGGGACTTCTTTCAGAAAGCACACGTTAGTATGGAGTGGACACTGGCTTTGTGGGTGAGATGTCAAAGGAAGGCAATTTGCAACCACCTTGGAGGAAGCTGAGCCTTCAGTAAGCATTAAGTGTGTGAGGGGGTTCCAGGCTGATAGGGAATTGGGGCAAAGGAGCCCACCATGACTTCTCCCAAAGTCCAGCAGGCCACGGGAGCCATGAGTAGGAGGGGAAGATACCTTCTAGCCCACAAGACATGCAGTGACCAGAAGCCATTAAGGAGTTATGCACAACCCTGGCAGTGAGACAATCTGAATGAGTCCATGTGTGGGTGTCTCAGACAGGGCCAGGGCCTGGGCTGGTGCCTTTCCCTGCAGGCCCACAGCTCTACTGTTTCCCACTGTGGCTGAATGTCCGTTCCCTGAGCCCAGTGGGAGGCTTGTCAATCACCCATCACTCACTGTCCAAATAACTGTCCACTTGCCTGACTGTCACCAGGAAAAGACTTTGGGAGTTGCTTTTGTCCTCTATATGGATGGAGAACCCATGGGAGGCTGAGCTAAGTGAAGGATGAGGCAGGGCATGCCGAAGCCAATGGGACCTGGGGAGAGAAAAAAAAAAAAAGCCCAACTATCTCAGAGAGTCAGAGTCACAAGGTGAGGACAGGGACACAGCCTTGCCTGTGTCAAAGTGGCATCTGTGCAGCAATCTGTTTGCCCAGTCTCTCTGTACTCAGATAAGACACCCAACCCCAGGGAAGGGTGGGAAGGGGAGGGGTTAGCCAGTGGAGAGAGCAGAATTCAAGCCTGGCTGCTTCCCTTACCTCATAAGTCATCCGACTCCTCACCTACATGATAGGACAGAGGCCCCCAGCACATCTGTGCAGAGAACACACTGGAGGCCACACTGATGGGGCTCTGCATAACACCTAGGCACACATTCTGTCTGTGTCATTGCCTCACGGAAACCCTCCAACACAATAGTTCCAGATAAAAGCACTTCTATTGGACTGTTACTGTGTTGTTGCTCACTGGACAATTGGGCTGTGGACCGAGCCTCAGAGAATGTATCTAGAAGCCCCAGGCTAGCTCCCAGCTCTGCCCTGATTTGTTAGGTATAGCCGTGTGGCCTGTCCCTGGTTACCTCTAAGCCCCTGTATTTCTCTGGCCTCCCAATTCCTATGGGCTGTGGCCATCTGGGGGCTGATGTGTTGGCACTGAAGATCCCTGCTCAGGAAACATTCTAGACATTTCATTTGTGGCCTGGAACAGCCTACTTCAGAAATGTCTACCAATGCCAGCATCTAGGAGCCACCATCCAGGAAGTCCTGCCTTTAGTAGCTTCCTGTCTTCTTATTTAGATTGACATCCATCCCTCTACAAACTTCAGCTCCATCCTTAGGTGCATGCCTCTCGGAGAGATTGGCTAATAGAACTCCATCCCAAGCCTACAAGGTGAGATGGAAAGATGCTTTTTAACTTCCTGTGTGTCCAGGGTGTCATGGTGGATTCCAGTCATGAAAGTAGTAGCCTCCTGGTATCAAGAACACATTGCTTAGGGAATATATATGGGTTCTTGAAAGCCAATCATCAAATTCCAGGAAGAGCAGAATGAGATGTCTCTTACCAGGGCTGCAGGAGATCCAGCCTGTCAGTGGGCCACAGGACAGCCCAGATCCCCTCCCAAAGGCACTCTGGGAAGGGGAACTGGGAGCCCTTGAGTCAGTCTTCATCCTGAGCTTCAACTTCCTGTCCTGGGACATGGGAAGTACCGTGGTGGGTGGCAGGTGTCAGCTAGCCTCTCCATGTGCTGGAGCCTGGCAGCCCAGGTCCCCCTTGCCTGCTTCCCCTGCTCCTGCCTGATCTACTCAGCACTGTGCCAGAGTCCTGCAGCCCAGTTTCTCTGGCTGACATTTGAAGCTGCTGAGCCTGCAGAAAGCCAGGCTCCTTGCTGTTCTTTCCTTTTCCACTCTACTGTGCTCCCTAATCTCATGGTGGACACCAGAGACCCTCCCTCCACTCCATCCCCTACACAGAGAACTGTTCCTACCTAGGGTGGTGTGACCACCCCACCTCACCTGGGTGGTCCCAGCTCACCATCCCCTCCTGGAAGAGACCTTCGTCTTCCTGTCTCCACACCTCCCCAGCCAGAATGTGCACAGAGCAGGCAGCTGTACCAGCCAGGTCTCTTATCTCTCCCTGCTCTCTTCCAGCTGATGTTTTCTCCTCTCTCCCTCTCTTTCTCCTTCCCTTCTTCCCTTTATTTTGAAACAAGATGCTATGATCCAGGAAGGTCCCAAATTCAAGACGCTCCAACCTCTGCTACGCAAGTGCTGGGATCCCGGGTGTGCACTGCCAGTGGCCTTCCAGCTGACATTTGCTTTGTCCTGTTGCAGTGTCCCTAAAGATTCCCAAACAGTTGTTCCAGGACTGCGCAGAGATCAAGGGCTCCGGAGCCAACGCCAGTGGTGTCTACACCATTCGTGTGGCCAACATGACAAGGCCTCTCAAGGTTAGGAGCTCCTGGGCAGGGTCTTTGAGATGGTGCTGAACTGGGGGCTTCTCTGACCGACCCTTCCACCCCACCCCAGATGGCTTTATCCACCATCTGAGAGCCAGGGAACAAGGGAGCCCTGTTTCTGGAAACTCCTACTAGGCAGGTTTCTGAGGAAGGGATGAAGCGCACCTCACAAAGCCAGAAGCATAGCCTTTGTCACCATCTTCTCCAGAACCAGGCTTCTAAGCAGAATCTCGGGAAACAGTTCTTTGTTGGTAAAGATGGCTGGCAGTTCCTGTAACTGATGGCTCTGGCCATCTATTTGTCATTGTCCAAGCAGGTTATTTCATTCACACAGTTCAGGAGAAGCAGGAGTTGGGTCTATGAAGCTGGTGATAGGCTGATGGGGTCGGGGTGTCATCTGGTGAGAGGCCCCAAGGTTGCCCTAAGCTTGACAGTCATTCGTCCATCTGTCCAACCGCCCTCCCCCGATGGTAGGGAGTCAGGGGAAGTACGGATGTCAGGGGTGAGGTGTGGGGCAGGCCAGAGGGAATGGGAGCAGTCCTTTTGTAGTGCCAGCCTGACTTTTCTGTATGTTGGGGACCATAGCCTTGTTTGACCCAGATTGACTTTTGTGTTTCTACATGACCTGCCACACCCCCCTTTCCACACAAAGAGGCAAAGTCTAGCTGGCTTTCACAACACTCTTGCTTTCCTGGTGTTTACTGTCATCCGGATAAAACAAGTGACTCTGGCTTTCCCTTTATGATACTGATAAGGCTTCCTTTCCAACCGTCATTTACCCTGTGGGTGTGGGCACAGGAATGCCAGCACTTTGAAAGTAAATGTGTCATTCGAGGGTGAGTAAGGTCAGCTGTGGTGCAATGTGGGCAGATGTGAATGGCTAGAATCGGGGCCACTGATGGAGAGACGGAAGCTGGCCTGGGAGGCAAGGGTTCTGAGCTCAGACCTCAGTGTGTCTTTGGTCCCACTTAGCTGCACACCTCTCTGGGCTTCCTGTACCCTATGCACTCACCACAGGTGCCCTACCTTCCCTCCCTCTGGCGGCCAGCTGAGCCCTATATGCTCGCCTATTTCTCTCTTTCCAGGAGTCTCCAGTGACTACCTCCTTGTAGCTACCCAAGCAGTCATACTCCCAGTAGTCAACTTCCCCTATCAGAGCCTCCTCCAAAGCCAGCCAGCCCCGTGAGCTGATTTATCTATCTATCTCCCATATCCATTGTCAGATGAATATGCACTGAACCAGTTGGAAGAATGTGTGCTGAATCCAGGCTGCAGGATTCAGCTGTGCTGGGCTGCAAGCCCTCTGAAAGAAAGGCTCTTTTGTCTTGTTCACACATACAACCCTGGCCTTGAACAGAGGTTAGTAGGTAGATGCTTGGAAGACCTTCATCCAGTGTGCCCATTGGAACAGGGCTTTCTGAGTCTATACTGCATCCAAATTCCTCTGCTTGCTGTGGTTTGATCTCAGGAGGTTATGAGCCGAGTCCTTGATTTTCAGCTGGTGGTGCTGTTCTGGAATGTTCTGGAAAGTACGGACAACACAGCCTAGTTGGAGAAAGTGGATCAGTGAGAACACACCTGTCAAGCCTCAGTCCTTCTTCACTCTCTGCTTCCTATCTGTCATGAGTGGAAGCAACACACACATACACATACTCTCACACTCACTCACACACACACACACACACACACTTTCACACTCACACACACTCTCACACTCACACACACTCACACTTTTGCACACTCACACACTCACACTTCCCCACTCACACACTCTCACACAGTCACACACTCACACTCTCTCACACTCACACACACACTCACATACTCACACACTCACACACATACTCTCACACACACTCATATATACACACTCTCACACTCACACACACTCACACACTCTCATACTCACACACACTCACACTTCCACTCTCACACACTCACACACTCTCTCACACTCACACACACTCACACACATACTCTCACACTCACTCACTCATACACTCACACACATACTCTCATACACACTCACACACACTCACATACGCTCTCACACACTCATATATACACACTCACACACACTCACATACTCTCTCACACACTCATATATACACACTCACACACACTCACACACACTCACATACTCTCTCTCACACACATACAGTCATACATACTCTCACACATACTCTTTCATACTCATACACACACACTCACACATACTCTCACACTCACACACTCACACACACATTCTCCCACCATAATATGTTTTGTCTCAGCACAGAATGCCCAGCAATAGTGTCCTAAAAACACTATTAAGCCACTACCAAAATAAGTTCTCCCTCCCTCAAGTTGCTCCTGTCAGGTGTCTAATGTGAACTTTGACCTTGGATGCACCCCTGCAGTACTAATAAATGAGAAACACCTCATGCATGTGTCAGCCTCTATTTGGAATGTCTTCCACGGTTTATAGTATTTGCAGAGAACAGAGCATAAAGAGTTCAGAGTATTAACATTCCCACTTTGCAAATGAGGAGAAGGCTCTGACAGGGTGTCCCTCACCTGCCTCCTTGAAAGAGGATGGCAATGGGTGGGGAGTCTGAGTCTGGATTTTCCTGATGCCCTTTGACCTCAGGTTCACTGTAGCTGAAGAAAGGCAGAGTTCGGCCAAGTTACATTTAGACTGGCTGAGAGTTGGCTTGTGGCCCCTCCAAGAGCTTCCAGATGTGTTGTTGTGTGCCCCCCCCAGGTGTTCTGTGACATGGATACGGATGGAGGTGGCTGGACTCTCATCCAGCGCAGGCAGGATGGAAGCACAAGTTTCCAGAGGACCTGGGAGGAATACAAAGAGGTAATATGTTGTCCTGGGGGCTCCCAGAGCAGAGCTTGTGCAGGGAGAGGGTACTGTGGTGGGGGCTGGTACACCTTTACCTCTCTCAGGGCGAAAGCCTAGCTCACCTAAAGCCAACTCCAAGCTCATTTGCTTTTCCAGACCCTAGCCTCAAACTGAGTCCTCTTTTGACATTTCTCACGTGTGTCCTAAGAATGAACTTTTATTTTTGTGTTAATATTTGGAAAAGTTACACATACATGTTGGTAACACCTTTTAAAAACTCCAACGGAGGGACTGGGGAGGTAGCTCAGTAGGTGACATGCTCGCTGGGTGAGCAAAGGGACCTAAGCTTTATCCCCAGAACCTATGTAAGAAAGCTGGAAAGGGTGACATGAACCTCTGGTTCCAGATCTGAGGAGGCAGCAGACAGATCCCTGGAGCTCAGAGACTAACCAGCCAAGTGAATTGTCAAGCTCCAGGCCAGTGAGTTCCTGTCTCAAAAACAAGGAGGACAACCCCTGAGGACTGACACCTGGGGTTGACCTCTGGACTACAAGCACACGCGCGTGCACGCGCACACACACAGCATGCACATACACACACACAGCATGCACATACACACACATAGCATGCACATACAACACACATACATGCGCGCACACACATGCCTATGCACATACAGCACACAAACACATGTGCGCGTGCACACAAGCACATACACACATGTATATATACATACAGCACACATGCATGCACACACACACACATACATGGAAAAATAATGAATGAAACAAGGGGGGAAACTCCCCATCATCCCTGACTATATGGCTTAAATTAATTTCTTCTTCTTCTTTTTTTTTTTTAAAGACAGGGTCACTCTATATAACACTGGCTGCCCTGGAACTCACTATGTAGACCAGGCTTGCCTAAAACACATAGAAATCCACCTGCCTCTGCTTCCTGAGTACTAGGATTAAAGGTGTGCACCACCAGGCTCTACAGATCTCCTCATCTTTGTATACATCTGTAACACATCTACAAGACAAATTTCTTCCTCTTTCTCCTCCTCATCTTTTTCTGGACTTCCTGTATTTCAAGTTGACCTCAAAGTCTCCTTGTAGTTGAAGATGACCTTCAACTCCTGGTCCTCCTGTATCCACCTTCACAAGGCTAGGATTATAGGGTAATTCTCCAAGGTGGGGTCGCTGCCTCAAGGAACCCTGTGTTGTATAGGATGGCAATGAGTACCCGGCTGCCTTCCAACCTTACATTTTCAGTTAAATTTTGAACACAGGAGTTTTGGCCAGCTAACTTAAAGGCCCTTAAAGTATTCAAAAGTAAAAGAAATAAAAGAGATATTTACCAGGAATCGAGCAACCAGTGTCCACCAGTCGCCCTCCAGATAAGGATTTAAAGGAGTTAGCATTAAGCAGCCTGCAGATCAAGGGCGTGGAGGACACTTTGTGCCCCTGTCCTTGGTCCTGAGGGATTTCTCTGCCAAGGTCATAGGTTTCTTGCTACCCTGGACACACACAGTCTGAGGAGTTGCAGCCTTACCTTTCTCTGTCACTGAAACTGTTGGGCCTCTCTCTTGCCTCTGGAAAAATGTCCTCCTGCTACTTCTGCCCAGCAGTGGGCTTGATCGCTCAGCTGTTTTCTTCCTGCGGAGGCTTAACTTGCATGTAGCTGAGTCCACAACTATAAAGCAGAAAGCTCTGTGAATTTGCCCACAGGCTCACCCATGTGACCAGCATTCACAACTAAATACCCAACTTTCTGGGAAATCCCCCTGCACCCCCTCTCCCTAGGTGTGTCCCCAAAGGTAGTGGCTATTTCTTTCTTATGCTTATTTTATTGTCTGTGGGTGTGGGTTTACCTGTGTGGTATATGCACACATGCAGGTTTATACCCTCAGTCATGCCAGGAGGCCAGTGGAGGGTGTCAGGTATCCTGCTCTGGGACTCTCTTCCTTACTCCCTTGAATCAGTGTCTCTTACTAGCTTAGAGCTAAGCTGGTGGCCAGCAAGCCTCAGTGACTCTCTTGTCCCTGCTTTGTACACGGGTGTCAGGAGTTCTAACTCAAGCCCTCATTTTTTGCACAGCGATTGCTCTTCCCTGATGAGCCATTCTCCCAAGCTATTCCAATTCCCATCACCACAAATGAGCTTTGAGTCTTTCTGATTTTGGAGGAATATGGGTTTGGTTATTTTTTTAGCAGGTTTAAATTTTACAAATGTTTTATCTTTGTTCTCTGGGAGGGAGCTCCTGTCCTAGGCCTGTGCACACTGTTCTTACGAACTTGCTCATTAGGCACTGTCTTTGGATAAGTGGCCATGGAGCCTGGGCTGGCCCAGCTCCTCAGCCACAGACACCACCTCCCTCTTCAGCACACAGCCACCCTTTCCTCTCCTCCCCCACAGGGTTTTGGTAACGTGGCTGGAGAGCACTGGCTGGGCAACGAGGCTGTGCACCACCTCACCAGCAGGACAGCCCACTTGCTGCGTGTGGAGCTGCATGACTGGGAAGGGCGCCAGACCTCCATCCAGTATGAGCACTTCCAGCTGGGCAATGAGAAGCAGCGGTACAGGTGGGCCCGGGGCCCAGGCTTGTGGGTGGTTTGGGGTCCCAAGGCAAGTGGCTACAGAGTCTGCACCGAGAGTCATTCCCTGGGCGTCTCCTGCTTCTGCCATCTGGCCCCCATTTGGGTGCACGTCACGGGATCTGGAGGTGGCCACTTAGCACTCAGCACATCTTGGCCACTGGGCGGGGTGAAGAGACTGTCACTGACGCCACCGTGCCTAGAGCAAGAAGGGATCCTCCAAGGCTGGTCACCCCAATTACAGGCAGCAGGAGGGGGGTTGACTTCTCAGTCTACCCTGTGCCCTGCGGTAAGGTGCAGAAGTCCTCACAGTGGGAGAAAGGAGACCCTTCTCAGCACTGCTGTTTGCAGCTCTGGCTGAAACCTCGGCCCATCAGGGTCAGCATTCTCTGTGCTTTTCAGCAGTGCTGGGCATAAGACCATGGTCAACTCAGCAAGGCTTCCCGCCCCCTCCCTCTGCCTGATTTATGGTGTGTGATAGGGAAAAGAAGCAAGCATTTCCCAAGCACTCGCTGTGTTCCAGATACTGTTCAACCCTCTCTTCAGTCGTGCGAGGCAGACTTTACTATACGTGGTTTTGTGAGAAGGAAACTTTTGTGTAAAATGACAAGTTAGATGGATCCTGGATTTGAACTTAGTTCCCCCTGTCATCAAATCCACTGTGTCTCCACTCTGTGATGTCATCTCTCTGAAACACTCACTGATCTTCGAATTAAGCCAGTGTCGCAGCTATCTTTGAACCGGGCCAGAGTGGACTCATGAACTCACTACAAAGATGCCCCCTGACATCTGTCCCCTCTAGAGCTGCAGGCAACTTCCAGAAAGCTAAGAGCTCTTACTTCCTCCCAGGGGACTCTCTAAACGACTCTTTGCCTATAAATTCACTTCTGGGGATCTCCCCTGGAGTCCCCCCGCCCGCCATGCCTCCCTTTTCTTATGAAATGTCCTTGCTTCCTCCAGCGGAGTGGGCCTGCCAGCCTCCCTTGTGGGGCCCACCCTGATGCTTGAGGTGCAGGAAGCAGAGCTGGAGGAAGCATCCCTAAGGCTGAGCTGTGCTGAGCTGAGTGAGACAGGCGCTCCATATCCTCCGAGCTGAACAGGGAGAACTTGATACACCCTGCTGGTGCCTACTGATGCCACTGACCCACCAGAACCCCTTTCTGAGTGGCCCTGAGCAAATTCTTCTACCCTTTCATTTGTTGGGTGGAAGCCCTGAACATACTCCCCCACCCAGTTCAGAGGTGCAGGCTCAAATGTGGGGTTCCACCCAAAGCACCCTCACAGTGCCTGGCAGGTAAATAGTATTGTAATAGCGATCCCTGTTGTAGCCCTCATGTGCCATTGGCTTGCTTCTGAGAGCCAGAGTCTGGCATCATAACCTATGGTAAGGCACCTAGCATATAGTGAGTGTTGGGTAAATGGTGGAGAGTTTTAAATGCTATGTTCAAAGGTAGAATTATACCACCCCAACATCTGTCTAGCAGTGTATGTGTTTGTGTCCACCACACAAAGTTGTGCTCAGGTCTCCACATTCCCTAAGTTCTTTGCAATGTAAACCCGGTGTTTTAGACGCCTCTGGTTTTGTCTCTGAACCATGGAGAGCTCCCTGCTACCCGCTCTGCCATGCCTTAAAGAGCAGCATGTACTTAATAGGTTGGGGAGCCCTAATGACAGGGTATTGAAACTTGCCCTGTGCCAAGCATGTGCTGGTCACTTGGAAAAGACTCTAGCCTGGACCTACCTCCTCAAAGCTGCTCATATCCCAATGTGGTAATAGTGTGGTGGGGAAGAGACATGTTCACAGGCAACCCACTTCCTCCAGAGAGGCAGAGCTGCCAGGACATTACCCAGGACAGTCAAATAGGTCTCCTGGGAGAGGTGTGGCTTGTGACACATGAGTCTGTTTTGGAGGGGAATCCTAGAAAATGAAATTTTCTCAAAAACATCAGAGGGGGATGGAGAGATAGCTCAGGCATTAAATTTCATGCCTTTCCAGCATAAGGACCCATGTTCAATCCCCAGAACCAAAATTTTTAAAGCCAGACATGGTGCTACATGCTTATACACCCAGTGCTGGAGAAGCAGAGACAGTAGACTGACTGGAGCTCCCTGGGCCAATGAAATAAACCCTGTCTGGAAAAAAAATGCCTGAGGAGGGGCACCCAAGATTGTCCTCTGGCCTCCATAAGCACACAAACATATATGTCTACACACAGACAAACATCTACACACACACACACACACATACTTTAAAAAAATAGCAAAGAGTTGGCATCCAGCTGGGTTATACGTTCCCCAAAATTGAATAAGAAGTTCACTAAGGCTTCTAGGCTATAAGGTATCCACTTATAAGGGAAAGCCAGGAAGACTGGCTTAGGGGTGGGGTGGGGGCCCTGAAAACCACTGGAAGGCCTGGAAATTGCCAAAGGAGGAGCAGGGGGAGAAGGATGACAGCTTGCACTGGGACCCTATCCGGGTCAGCAGCTAAGGTGGGAACACCCATAGAAAAGCCCAGAAGAGGGAATGAAAAGGCTTGCAGTGGCAGGAGGCACCCTTGTTTGTCAGATGCAGTGACAGGAACACTCTGAACACGGTGGGACACACTTCACACTCTCATTTAGGGAATTCCCAAGAGACTCAAGTAGCAGGGTTTCTTTAGACACGCATGATCAAAGTGAGGTTTCCTGGGCCCTGAGGTAGAGGTCCCCAGAGAATCACTGACACCAATCTGGTTCCCAGAAAGAAAAGAGGCAACCCTGAGTTTAATGGCCAGAGGAAGAAGCTAGACTGGCTAGGGCCAGTCACTTCTCTTTGCAACAGTGGTCCCTGGGGCTAGAGTAACATGTTAAGAGCACACTTGGGCCTTCATGACTGGTCATGAATACCCTGCCTGGCCACAGACAGATAGAGCCTGTGGGTGAGAGGCATGGACTGAGCCAGCCGTATAGATGTTCCATGCTTCCTTGGCTGGGTGCCAGGTCCTGCCCTGGCTGCCGCCCCCCTCCATCTGCTTCCCTCTCTATGGAAACATCTCAGTGGCTTCCAAGCCAGCTCCTGCCTCAATTGTTCGGGTAAGCTTTCCCTACACTATTTAGCCAGGCTGGCCTGTCCCAAGGACTGAATCACCAGTCCTGAATGCACAGGGTTCTCACCGACACCCCCAACCTCTCAGCACACTTCACCTGCTGCTGTCACTAAATCACTAGGTGAGCAAGGTCACAGTAAGTCTCTTGTCACTATCTGAGTAACTGAAGACACTGAGTCTCAGTGGGGTGAAGATGACTTCCCAAAGCCAGGCCATGCTAGGTTTGAATTTAGGCACTCTGTCCTACCCCCGCTCCACAGCCATTATCACCCCGTAGGTTTGGATATAGTCACCAGGGATACAGAGTCTGGCAAAGAATTAGAAGCCCTCTGTCCCCTAGCTGGATGGTTTCCTGAGTGTTGGCACATGGGGCTGGTGTGTCCAGTGAAGGCTTTTAGGAAGAGGTGTAGAATAGAGCGGCAGTGATGCACTGAGGTTGCAGGGTGGTCTGCTGGCAATACCAGGCCCTCCAGACTGGATGCCAGCTCTGATGGTTACTGGTTCTGAGAACTGAGCAGCTTCCTTTGGCTCTTGCATCCCCATGTTGTCGTGTAGAAAAAGGTATTATGAGGCTTAAATGAAAATGAGTTAGCCCTCTCAAGGCACTGAAACAATGCCTGGCCCAGAGCAGATATTCAAAAGATTGCTAGCTCCAGACATCGCCTAGGCACACCCACCTCCGGACAGCATCTGTGTCTCCCACTCAGAGCTCTCTAGGACCCAAATTCAGCAAATAAGAAAAAGCCAACAGCAGTAAGTGATGTGACTCCAGGGTCACAAGTGAGGAGGGCATCAGAGCAGACTGTTTCCCCTGCAAAAATACCAGGAAGGAAACTTTGCCAGAACAAAGCCCTTTGGGGGGCACCAACCTTACTCTGTACCTCTTTCTTACCCTATCCCTCCTCCTGGGCCTCTAGCCTCTTGGTGAATACAAGCAGCAGCTCAACGGGGCTCAAGAACAGCCTGGCTCCGAGGGGAACCAAGTTCAGCACCGGTGACATGGACAATGATAACTGCATGTGCAAGTGTGCTCAGATGATGTCTGGAGGTGGGTGTATCCAGATGCTGTCTGGAGGTGGGTGTATCCAGATGCTGTCTGGAGGTGGGTGTATCCAGATGATGTCTGGAGGTGGGTGTATCCAGATGCTGTCTGGAGGTGGGTGTATCCAGATGATGTCTGGAGGTGGATGTACCCAGGTGACATCTGGAAGTAGAGGAGGGTATGTCCAGATGCTGTCTGGGGTTGGGTGTGCCTGGTGAGGCTCCAGCCAAATCTCCCTCTTCCAGGTCATTGAAGTTCACATGAGGTTGTACCTCCTATAGAAACACCCCTAGATTTCCTTAGAGACCAGCTGGGAGACACCAAGAGTAGCTCTGAGAAAGCATCCCACCCCCGCTCCCCAGGCCAGGTAGAAACAGCATGGGGGAGACCAGAGGCAGGAAAGGCAGGTCCATTCTACACCTTTGTCAGGCAGTGCAAGGATGGAGATGGGGTGCGGAAAACACAGATAAAAGAGACTCAAGTCCTAGAGACAAGGACCAGAGGAGGCCAACAGTGACACAAGGTGGCAGAAGCAGAGAGGTGCAGATGACAGCAGACAGCACAGAGAGGAATAAAGCTCAGTAGATGGGCAGGAGGCATGCAGAGCACACTGGAGACGGAGCCCCAAGGAAAGGCCGTTCAACAAGGACAGAAAACACACGAGCAAGATGACACAGACAGAGGACACTCAGAGACCTCTAGAGGGAACAGCAGGAAGGTATAACAGAGCATGGTAGGAGGTCATGAAGGGGAAAGAAAGAGGGAGATGGGGTGAGAGAGGGCGCAGGAAGAACAGAGCCTCTGCTGCCCTCCAAAGCTCTGGCTTCACCTCTCCCCAAGCCCAGCCCACTGCCTTCAGCAAGCAGGCACCCCAAGGTGACAGCCCACCAGCCCTACCCTCCTAGAATCCAGACCACCTCATCCCATCTCCCCCAAACTCAGACTCTGTCCTCCCTCTTCCACTAGGGTGGTGGTTTGACGCCTGTGGCCTCTCCAACCTCAATGGCATCTACTATCCAGTTCAACAACACTTGCACAAGATCAATGGCATCCGCTGGCACTACTTCCGGGGCCCCAGCTACTCACTGCACGGCACACGCATGATGTTGCGGCCAATGGGTGCCTGACACACAGCCCCGCAGAGACTGATGCCATAGGAGGATTCTCAACCCGGATGGCTTTGTGCGAGCTGAGCCCCACCCAGAAATCAGTGCCCAGGGCTCATCCTTGACATTCTCGGACAGCAGAGCCAGCTCACCTTGCCCCTAAATTACAGTCACCTGCCCCCCTGTGGAATGCTGGGTGCTTATGGCACTGCCTGTGTGGTAACTTCACTCTTCTTCCTCCTGCCACCCGCAGGGACTTCCCACCATGACCTGAGGCAGGCTAAACTAGACACCTCAAGAGGTTGGGGTTGCAGCAGGTGGGAGGACCTTCCAGACTGAGGGTGCCCTCCTCCAGGGGAGGCTGAGAATCTATTTCCCTTATCCAATTCCAAGTCTCCCCAGCCTTGACATGACTGCAGATTCTTTCCAAGGCCCGGCCACTGTTCCTATTCCCTGACCCACAACCCTGGTGCTAGACATTATTTCCCAGTGCTCTGTGGTTCCTGGACTTCAGTGGCTGATGGTCAGACCTCTCAGAAGAGGGGAATGAGAGGGGTCTTTTTATGCCAGTGCACCCTAGAGTATGTCCCACAGGTAATAATCAGGGCTCCTCTTTAAACTACCTAGGATGAAGTCAGAGAGAATCAGCAAGCCAAATAAAAAGAACAGGCTTTCTTAACTGCAGGACTTGTCAGAGCCTCTCATGTGTTCCCAAGCCTGTGGCCACCCATGAAAGGGATAGGGGAAGCAGCTTTCTCCAAATGTCCTTATTTGAAAATGAGGGCTGGGAAGATGGCTCCATTGGTAAAAAGTTCTTGCCATGCAAGTAAAGACTGAAATTCAGATCCCCAGCATCCATGTAGAAAGCTGGGTGTGGCCAAGAGGATCTGTGATCAGCACTGGGGAAGGCCGAGACCGGCGACTCTGCAGTCAACCTCACTGATTCGGTGACAGAAAAAAATAAGGTGGAGAAGTAGCTAAGGAATACCTGAGCTGACCTCTGGCTTCCACATGTACAGCTATTACACAGGAACATACACACACACACACACACACACACACACACACACATTTTTTTTTTTTAGTTCCATGTCAGGGCCATGGATCCCTTTGGAAAAGGTCCTCACCTGTCAGGAGGAGGATTCCTAGAGATATGTCCCCCACCTCCAGCTCTACCCCACATTTACAGGTTGCAAGGATCATAGGGTAGCCTCAGACAGCTTCTAAAAAAACACTAGAAGGAACTTTGCATTAAAATAGACACACATCAATAAAGAAGGTTCTAGAACTGAGATCCTGTCTGTGCTAGAAGTTCATCTCCTCCAGGGATCCTTTTGCCCACATGAAGCTAGACCTCTGCCTGTGTGGCTGCCTTAGGGGCTCCTCAGACACTCTGGCTCAATCCAGCAACTGTCAGGCCTGACACTAGTGCCAAGGGATTCTTCCCACCTCATCCAACACAGCACTGCCCCTCTGTCTGCATTGGAGATGAGGCCTCAACAGACATAGGGCCCCCACAATCTCCCTATGACCTCTAAGAAGCTCTAACTGAAAGTGGCCACAGCCACTGTCTTGCCTTGTGAATCCCTGTGTCCCCTGCCACAATCCTCACAGTTAACATCCCCCAACACCCAGCCCAACCACGAAAGCACGTTTTTGAGGTCTCCTGGGCAAGCTAGGCCTACCTCCCTAGGATCCAGCAATTCAGGAGCATTTCCAGCAGGACCAGAAAAGACTTAGGAACAGGCTGTTGCATGGAAAACTGGAATCATCTTACTCAGCATTTACCCAGCAGAATTTTACTACGCACCTACTGTATGAGACTGGGAAAGGTTTGAGGGGATCATACTGGCTCTGAGACCCTAAGCCAGTGGCTCAGCTTCCCATGGCCTTTATTATCCTGTCTGAGAAATGGACTCGATAATGTTGCCTCTATGCTATAGAGGAATGGAGCCATTTGTACCAATGACCCAGTCTCCCAGAAGAATGTTAGCTCCTGAGCTGAGGAGATGGCCTCATCAGGAAAGTGCCTCGTGTGGGCACACTATCAGAAACTGAGCTTAATCTGCAGAGCCCAGATGAGAAGATGGGCACAGTGGCTGCTCCTATAATGCCAGCACTGAGGAGGCAAAGACAAATGGGTCCCTGGGGATCACTGGACAGTCAGTCTGGTCTAATGGGCAAGCTCCATATCCAAGTGAAAGACAAAAATGGACAGCTCCTAAGAAATGACATCTGAGGTTGACCTCTAGCCTAGACACACACACACACACACACACACACACACACACACACACACACACACACACGTTCCCCCAAAAGGCCAAAGGAGAGAGGAAGGCCACCCCCTTCCAATGTGTGCTACTACTCCTGATCCTGGTAAGCAGGGAGAATCCTATTGTGTCCACAGTGTTTTTCTGTGTTGTGACATTTCTAGGCTACCCCATGCTTCGAAGTAGAGCAAGGCAAAGCTGAGGGTCCTAGGAGGCAGCCCCTCCATCGGTTCACTTTGGACTCCTGCTTTTAAATATCCATACTGCCCTCTCACCTTCCTTCCTCCTCACCAGGTCCCATAGAAACAGTATCCTGAAGATGAGCTCACTCACATCCATGGGACATTTTCCGTTACAGCTAGCCCCAGGTACTTAAGTGAAACCTCTGCCTGTAACTTGTCACGTCCCTGATTGACTGGATTCTCGGCAGGGTCTCTGACGTGATGGTTCCAGCAGCCTTAGTTCATGTCCCAGCTCAGCATCTTGAGCCAGAGAACTGTTCGGGCCCAGAGGTTCCAACCAAGGATGACCCTCTCTGGCATCCAGCATGGGTCTGGGGTTCTGAGTGGCCAAAGCCAGGTTACATGATCATATCTGACCCAGGTAGGGCCATTTGGACCAAGCCAAGTCTTGTTTGCAGTAAGCAGGGAGGCAGGAGGACTCCAATTTCTCTTCTCTGTCTCCCCACCACAGCCTCTGCCCCAGCTTCCCTGTCCCCAAATCTTGCCTAAGGTGTCAGTTGAGCCCAGGTTACCTCAGATAATCAAGGACCTGTGGTGTCATGCCCAGAGATTCCAGACATGGTTCTGAAAATCCCTGGTCTCTCTAATCCCACCAAACTCTGACAGCCTGAGGAAGATAAATGCTGAAGGGGCCCCATGGGGACAGGGGTGGCTTGGGGATCTCCTGGGGCCACAGATGCTGGGAACTAGATCAGGAATGTTTGCCCCTGAGATTCCTACCCAAAATCTTTGTCACCTCTTCTTGCTCAGTATCCTTCCGTTTCTGTGGTAAAGGAAGAATTTTGCCCAGCTGCATAGACACTCATTCCAGTACACATGCAGCCAGCCCTGAGCTGCCTTCTTCCATGAGCTCTGTGGAGACATGTAGCTACCTACCATAAAAATGCTAAAGTGCTGTCCCTGCTGCCCATGACAAGGGCTAAAGGAACTTTCTAGAAAGACTGCAAGGCCAGTCTGTCCTTTTCACTGATGCCCAGTCAGTCCTGGTGGAGACAGCCAGGCGGCACACATTGTTCCTGAGAGCATTGTGTGTGATCAGAAAAGGCTGTTTCTGTACTGGAGTTCGCTGTGTTCATATCAGGGACGTAATGAAGGGCAACAGGGAAGGTGGCCCTTGAAGGAGTGAGATAGAAAACAGGCAGCCCTCATGGAAGGTTCGGGAATAGAGCTTTGTCTGGGTTTTCCTTCCCATCACTGTCTGAGTCTTTGCTTCCCTCTTTGAAAGATACTCTGGAAAGCAGGGCATTGTTGCCATGGCAACAGCAGCAGCAGCAGCCTCTTTAGTGGAGCAGCTTTTCAGATACATGGTAGGTTCATCAGTGTTGTCTCATTCCTTCTTGGGTGCATTCACTTGCACAGCTGTGAGTGGTTGAAGACCTCCCTGGACCGAGGCCTGGCTGGGTGATGGGGATGGAGCAGTATATGGACAGATGTCTACAGTCTACCTCACTGAACTAAACAGACTTAGGGGAAGACAGCAAAGGAGCAAATTAAAAGTAGTCAAGATGAAGTGAATTTAAAAATACACCACAAATGTAGACAATACACCGGACAAATCAGAAAGAATTACAACTCAGAAACCTCTAAGGAGGAAGCCTGTGTGTGTGTGTGTGTGCGTGTGTGTGTGTGTGTGTGTGTGTGTGTGTGTGTGTGTGTGTGTGCTGGGAAGGCCAGAGGTTGACATGAGATGTCTCCCGCAACTGCTCTTCACATTGTTTTGAGACAGGGTCTCTCACTGAACCCCGAGTTCCCAGACTGCTGGCCAATTAGCAACAGGAATCTTCCTGTCTCTACCTCTCAAGTTCTGGGGTTACAGGCATGCACCACCATGTCCAGCTCCTAATGTGGTGCTGGAGCATTCAGGTCCTTACACTTGTGTATCAAGCACATTACTGACTGAGCAATCTCCAAAGCCCTACAAAGACGACCTTTTCTTCTTCCTTCCTCCTTCTTCTTCTCCTTCTTCTTTTTCTTCTTCTTCCTCTCCTCCTCCTTCTCTCTCTTCCTTCATCTTCCTCTCTTCCTCTTCCTCCTTCTTTATTCTCCCTCTCCTCCCTCCTCTTTCTTTAAGATGTATATATTTTAACTGGGAATGCTGGCACATGCCTTTAATCTCAGCATTCAGGAGGCAGAGGCAGGTATATCTCTGTAAGTTCAAGGCCAGCTTGATCTACAAAGGAAAGGCCAGAGAGTGAGACTCTGTCTCAAAAACAAACAAACAAACAAAAATCCACATTATTTAATGTGCGTGGGGTGTTTTGCCTGGATGTATATATAAGTATCGTGTGCATGCCTCAAACCCAGCAAGGTCAGAATAGGGTATCAGATCCCCTGGCACTGGAGTTACACATGACTGTGAGTCGCCATGTGAGTGCTGGGAACTGAACTCAGGTCCTCTACAGGAGCAACAGTGGTTTTTTTTTGTTTTGTTTTGTTTTTAATGTATTAGTGCTCTGCACGTATACCTGCACACCAGAAGAGGGCATCAGATCCTATTATAAATGGTTGTGAGCCACCATGCTCAGGACATCTGGAAGAACAGCCAGTGCTCTTAACTCCTAAGCCATCTCTCCAGTCCCACAAGTGTTTTCAA